CTTGCTTATACTGTATATCTTACAGCTATAATGAAGCAGAATGTGTTTACTTTGAGTGCTGTAACTTCTGTGTTCTTTCCGAACCTCACCGTAATCCGTGGACGTAACCTCTTCTACAACTATGCCCTTGTGATCTTTGAGATGACCAGCCTGAAGGACATTGGCCTGTACAACCTGAGAAACATCACCCGTGGCGCCATCCGCATTGAAAAGAACCCTGAGCTCTGCTACCTGGACTCCATAGATTGGTCCCTCATCATGGATGCCGAGTTCAACAATTATATTGCAGGGAACAAGCAGGCCAAGGAGTGCAGCGATGTTTGTCCAGGCATCATGGAGAACAACCCCCAGTGCAGAAAGACCATCTTCAACAACAACTACAACTACCGCTGCTGGAGTTCCAATCACTGCCAGAAAGGTAAGTTGACTGTCAAACATGATAGTTCATCAGGGATGTGAGCTTTTGATTGTGCAGACAGTCCAGGCTTTGGCCTGATCTGTGTAGATGTGAATTTGGAAGTGTAGTGAATGACCCCATGCTTACAGCTGTGGCCTGTTACTTGTCACTTCAACCATTGTGTTTTGGCTTCGAAGAAGGAGGAAAGTGGTGGGACACTGTTATGCATGACTGGCTTGTCTGCAGAGCTTTGCTGTTATGTATGTCGGGTTTTTATCCAAGTTAAGAACACATGAAGAAAGAGAATAACAGATAACATTTCAGACTGCAATTTTGCCTCGGCCCTTGTTGTTGTTGTGCAAGGTTTTCTGAGTGTGGGAAACTGCTGGTTCCTGAATTTTATCATGGTTATTTGCTGCAGTTCTGGTTTAATTCAAATGGTCTCACCTGTCTAAACAAATGAAGTAAATGCTTCAAAGTTTAACTTAACTACTCCGAGCACAGTAAGTGTGACTCACCCTTTAATTTTGTGTTTATGACTGCAGCATTTTAGATGACTTTTTTTTGCTGGTGTGTTTCAGACAATGTGTCTTGGCTGACTGTGTGTCTGGCTGAATTGTTTCTCTGGTAACTGGTGCCTTGCTGCAGACTCAGCATGTTGATGTTTTCAGTCTTGTGACATAAAAGTGTCACAGGATTGGCCTGAATGTAAACCTAGTGATCATCATCAAACACACTTGAAGCACAGAGATGCAGGCACACACACACATAAACAGACAAATTACAGAGATGCAGATATGTCTGACAAACACACTGGCCTGGCCTGCTTTGTAAGTTGCTGGAGTAGCAGCGTGTGGGCAAGTGATGGTGGAAGGCATGTTAGATGAATGGAGATGATGTATGATCCAAGGAGTGTCATGTGGAGGAGCAGAACTCTGCTGTTTATCATTTCTCTTGTCAACAGAAAGACACTATAGGGCAGGGGTGTCAAACTCAATCACACAGGGGGCCAAAACTCAAAGCACACTTTAGGTCGTGGGCCGAACAGGATAAACATTTATTGAACAGACTAAAACTAAACGTTTTTTGAACATAAATATGAATCGAAACAGACAGGTTACAATATTATTCCAAAATAAATAAACTTGAACTTAAAATCAGCAACCGTATTTCTGCTAAGGCTTACATTAGCAAACACCTGCTTTTCGTCTGGACACAAGACGTCGCACACTTCCATCACGCACCTCCTCAGAAACTCTCCCTCGGTAAATGTCCGGGCTGATTTTCTCCTCTGCCGCAATAAAACTTGCTTTCACAGCAGCTTCACTGTGTGATTTCGCTTTGGTGAAAACGTCTGCTGTGATGTCAGATTCCTCTTCAACTCCTCTACCTTCTGTAGCTTCTGCTCTACATTCACGTTTTTCAGCTTGTCCTGATGTTTTGTCTCGTAGTGCCATTAGGTTAGATTAGCTCCACAAATAAGACACACGGGTTTACCGGCAATGTCAGTAAACATATACTCAACCTCCCACTGGTTTTAAAAGGCTCTGTTTTTAGAATCAACTTTTCTCTTGGCCATTGTTAGGGGCTAGCTTTGACTTGAACTTAGGGTTGTATACATCAACAGATGGTTGATTGATCTGACGTAATTGATTAGGAGACAGAATGTTTATTATTATTATTATGACGTGTTTAATCATAATCGTAATCATAATATTTTCTTATGCTTAATGTCATGACATGTCACTAGATGTCATGTCAGAATGTCTTAGATACACACCACACAATCAACAGACAATCACACATTGATTTTCTTCATGCTTTTGACTACTGCTATGGTCAGCTGCAAAGTTGGCACCGGAGACGTCACGGTTTGGCGTCCCTGAGTAGTATGGGCTAGCCCAAAGTGATATAATGTTTAGGCCTGTTATGGTTCGGGGCGTTGTGTTACGTCCACGGATCAGGCCGTCCCCGGCACCTCGGCAGCTGTTATCAGGGCTATCAGCGACTCCACTCCTGCTCACGTAGGAGCACGCTCCCGGCGACTAGGCACACCTGCGCTCAATTAGCTGTACCATACTTAAACACAGCGCTGGTGTGTCCTCGTCGCCAGATAATCGCTCAGTCTTCTGCCGGCGACTTTGCGTGTTTCACGTCCTGGATCCTGATGTCTACTAAGATCGTCCTACTCTGGCATATTGATGTTATCCACTGTGTCGACTTGAGTGAGTTTCTCTGTCTTGTTTACGTTTTTTTTTTTCTTGAACTAATTACCGAGGAGTATCTTCTGTTATTTTGGAACTGACTATTGGGGAGATCTTATGTTTATTTTGAACTCATTACCTTATCTTCTGTTATTTTGAACTGGTGACGGAGGAGTGTCTTATGTTTTTGTTTTCTAAACTGATTTGTTTTTTGAACTGTTGCCTGGTGCCGCCTATATCTCCGTGGGCCTTGCTGCCGAGCGACGATCGTTGGTTGGGGTCCATATCAAGTGCCTGGGTCAGTGAAGCGTGGGCGCTTGTTCCTGTCTGCATAGCTCGGCGCTGGGTTCTAAACACGCTCTCCAGCCCGGAGCCAGCATTCCCCTATACACAGGTCACCTGTGTTGTGCTCTACTTCATCACACCCTCATCCGCCTGTTGTCCCCTCTCTTAATCTCCTTCTCTGCTCTATACGCAGTGCCAAAACCTCTCCTCCGACGTGGGACACTCAAAGATCGGAGGGAAGGACTCTGCATTCCTAGCCCCGGTAATACCACCGTTTTCCATATGCTCCTTAATGCGGAATAACGTGTCCCGGTCATAAATTAAAACAGCTGACACACAAGCTTCTTCTAACAGGTTCTAAACTGGTTTAGCTCTTTCCTGTCCAACAGAACCTTTTCTGTCATTATTGATGATTCTTCCTCAACCATAGCCCCTCTTACCTCAGGTGTCCCCCAAGGCTCGATTCTGGCCCCGTTACTCTTTTCTTTATACATGTCACCACTTGGTTCAATCATATCAAGACATAATGTTCATTTTCATTTTTATGCAGATGTTCAGATTTACCTGCCGTTGACACAATGCGATTCTAACACACTTGGCCCGCTGCATAATAGTATTCGTGATATCAAGCAGTGGTTATTGCAGAACTTCCTTCATTTAAATGGGAGCAAGACTGAATACATTGTTTTTAGCTCCGATCCAGTCGCTGTTGTATCGACTTTAGGTCCTTCAGCCCCTTTATTCACAGATACCATGAAAAAAACTTGGAGTGATATTTGACAGTGGCCTAAATTTCGATAAGCAGATCGGGTCCGTGGTTAAATCTAGCTTTTTCAACTGAGAGTCCTAACAAAGGTAAAGCCCTTCTTATTGCACGAAGACTTAGAAAAAGCTACCCATGCTTTTATCACCTCGCGACTTATACTGTAATGCCCTCTATGTTGGAATCTCAGTTTCTTCTCCGAAAGCTCCAACTGGTCCAGAACTCTACGGCTCGACTGCTGTCGAACACCCCCAGGTATGCTCACAACACCCCTGTTCTTCTCTCGCTACAGTGGTTGCCAGTACGGTTTAGAACTGACTTCAAGGTGCTACTATTTGTATTTAGGTCTATAAATGGCCTCGCTCCGCCATACCTGTCTGATCTTCTGTCTATTTATGCTCCACGCAGCGCTGTGCGCTCCTCAGAACATCTGTCCTTGGTTGTCCCACGTTCTCTATACAAAAAATGGGGTGATCGTTCTTTTGCTGTGTATGGCCCCAGACTCTGGAATTCTCTATCGCTAGAGCTACGGTCCATAACCGAGCTGGCGGTTTTTAAGTCGACTCTAAAAACCCAACTTTTTAGACAGGCTTTTGGTGCATAACCTGTCTTACCTTCTCCGAAGAGACGTTTTTAACTTATTGTTTTATTCAAGTTCTATCCTGATATGGAAGTTTTTTACTGTTTCCGTCTTAAAATTCCGTGTTTTATTTTGTTTTGGTTTTATTGTTTTAGTAGTGTTTTTTAGCAGTTATACATGTTCTGCTGTGAAGCACTTTGGGCTCCGCTGGAGTTGTAAAGTGCTATATAAATAAAGTTTTATTATTATTATTATAGATGCTTTCCATGTTGTGTATGCAGGTGTTTGTGATGTGCTAATTTCAAATAACTTATCTGCTTCCCCACCAAATCTAGAAATTCATAGTCCTGTAAACATTGTGTGGAAAGTGCCATCTATCTTTTAACAAATGTATATCTTTGTACACTAAACAACATGGTGCATGACCTGAAGTCACAGAAGCAACTCAGTATTTTAGAATATGCCAGCACGTTCAGCTTGTTGTTTAAAAAGACAAAACAGTGCCACAGCAAACTGCTTTCTACAGCTAGAAACAGCATGGCCATTTTGACGAAGCTCTTGTAGTATATTACATTTGATGAGTAGGTTTCCCAGCAGTGCTTGAATGTATACCAACATACAGTATATGTTGTCTGCAGTACTTGTGTGTAGTTTTTCTGTCCACCCAGTTTATGCAACAAAGCAGGTATTATTGGACAGTATAAATAGACTCATTCATTGAGTGCAACACATCCTCTTTACAAAGTGTCCCCAACCTTTTATTCTCCTCACCTTAAGATCATGAGACAGCACCGCTGCTCGCATCACATCCATTTTCAAGTTGAACTCATGTTCCCGCTGTCGGAGCTCACAGTCAAAAGCTGCCGCCAGCTCCTGTTAGCCAAAGGAGAGAGTGTGTAGAACTGCAACACAACTACATTTATTGTGAAGTGTAGTTGTTTTAACCAAACAGAACATTGCTCAGTGCATTTTAGTTCATATATACTGTAGCACAAACTTAAAATTACTTAACAGCACAAATCATGGAATGATCATTGCTCTCAAACATAAACACCATCCAACATTTTTCAAGCACTGACAGATGGAGTGAAGTTTAGTGAAAATACAAACCAACCCAAATAAAAACATGAATACTTCATAAAAATGTATAAAAGTGATTATAACAAATATTGTTCTAAAAAGCAGCAATTTGTCTGTCAACTAGCAAGTGACAGCTATCATCTCCAATTCTCCAATTAAACAAAATCAGAAATACTGGAAACTGGAATTAAACATTTCTTTTGAGCTTATAAAGCTGACATACCAAGCCAGCTATGCCCAGCTTTACAGCACAAGTTTCATTACGTATTACGTATTGTATTTTTCCTCCGTGTAAATGGTGTCCAGATCAGAGAGGAGGGGTGCTGATAAAAATGCCTACAAATTTCTATGGGTCATCTTCGGTTATCAGTTGGAAGCAGGAAGATCTGCCCGACAGCACCCAGGCTAAAAAAGACTGCTTAACACTGTCACATGGTTTTGGGGAAAAAAAATCTTATCACTGTGAAACTGTGATATTCGCCTAAAACACTAAAACTGAACATTAATCAAAGATAATGCAGGAATTGAAAGTGCTCTTTTTAATAAAGATCTACATAAACAATAAATACATTTAAGTAATGGGTCTCTATTGATATAGGTTATTAAAATTAGCTTATTAGAAAGGACTAATAAATATAAGGCCGCTGAATATAGAAATATAGACACTGAGACATTTGAGACAGATTCCTTCCCCCGAGCCAACACTAGCCTACAAGATTCATTCACTCCTATTCATCATTCGGTGTCAGCACCTGCTCATCTTACCTGATAAACAGATATGTGGGGACACACCTACACATACTAATGGACATGTAGTGTTTTCATGATAACACAGTCATCCAGTTCAATGTAGGAGACACCAGACAGAGTCAGGGTGAGAGTGTTTTTGTCTGGGTTCACCCTAAAGGTCTGCTGCTGATCCCATCTGAATGTCTGGCTGCTCTACCAGTTATTTCAGGCTAACAGACTGGGCGGCCTTCCACTGTACACAGCCAACTCGAGTCATAGAGTTGCTATTTGACATTGCTACACATATGTGTCAGAAGCCCAGTGTATTAATACTGTGTTGTTTAGTCTATTTTGAAGGGAACCAATAAAGTTTTAGCCTATTCAAAACAGTGAACCACAGATATTGTTTTAACATTATGGTACACATTATACAGTGCCTTGCGAAAGCCACATTTCAGGCTTGAAACATAAAGATATAAAACTGTAATTTTTTGTGAAGAATCAACAAGTGGGACACAATCATGAAGTGGAACGAAAGTTATTGGATATTTCAAACTTTTTTAACAAATAAAAAACTGAAAAATTGGGCGTGCAAAATTATTCAGCCCCCTTAAGTTAATACTTTGTAGCGCCACCTTTTGCTGCGATTACAGCTGTGAGTCACGTGGGGTATATCTCTATCAGTTTTGCACATCGAGAGACTGAAATATTTGCCCATTCCTCCTTGCAAAACAGCTCGAGCTGAGTGAGGTTGGACGGAGAGCGTTTGTGAACAGCAGTTTTCAGTTCTTTCCACAGATTCTCGATTGGATTCAGGTCTGGACTTTGACTTGGCCATTCTAACACCTGGATATGTTTATTTGTGAACCATTCCATTGTAGATTTTGCTTTATGTTTTGGATCATTGTCTGGTTGGAAGACAAATCTCCGTCCCAGTCTCAGGTCTTTTGCAGACTCCATCAGGTTTCCTTCCAAAATGGTCCTGTATTTGGCTCCATCCATCTTCCCATCAATTTTAACCATCTTCCCTGTCCCTGCTGAAGAAAAGCAGGCCCAAACCATGATGCTGCCACCACCATGTTTGACAGTGGGGATCGTGTGTTCAGGGTGATGAGCTGTGTTGCTTTTACACCAAACATAACGTTTTGCATTGTTGCCAAAAAGTTCGATTTTGGTTTCATCTGACCAGAGCACCTTCTTCCACATGTTTGGTGTGTCTCCCAGGTGGCTTGTGGCAAACTTTAAACAACACTTTTTATGGATATCTTTAAGAAATGGCTTTCTTCTTGCCACTCTTCCATAAAGGCCAGATTTGTGCAGTATACGACTGATTGTTGTCCTATGGACAGAGTCTCCCACCTCAGCTGTAGATCTCTGCAGTTCATCCAGAGTGATCATGGGCCGCTTGGCTGCATCTCTGATCAGTCTTCTCCTTGTATGAGCTGAAAGTTTAGAGGGACGGCCAGGTCTTGGTAGATTTGCAGTGGTCTGATACTCCTTCCATTTCAATATTATCGCTTGCACAGTGCTCCTTGGGATGTTTAAAGCTTGGGAAATCTTTTTGTATCCAAATCCGGCTTTAAACTTCTCCACAACAGTATCTCGGACCTGCCTGGTGTGTTCCTTGTTCTTCATGATGCTCTCTGCGCTTTAAACGGACCTCTGAGACTATCACAGTGCAGGTGCATTTATACAGAGACTTGATTACACACAGGTGGATTCTATTTATCATCATTAGTCATTTAGGTCAACATTGGATCATTCAGAGATCCTCACTGAACTTCTGGAGAGAGTTTGCTGCACTGAAAGTAAAGGGGCTGAATAATTTTGCACGCCCAATTATTCAGTTTTTTATTTGTTAAAAAAGTTTGAAATATCCAATAAATTTCGTTCCACTTCATGATTGTGTCCCACTTGTTGTTGATTCTTCACAAAAAATTACAGTTTTATATCTTTATGTTTGAAGCCTGAAATGTGGCAAAAGGTCGCAAAGTTCAAGGGGGCCGAATACTTTCACAAGGCACTGTATAAAGACAGACAAAAAGAGTTTCAGATCTTCATAATAATAAGTGTGTGTGTGTGTGGGTTCACCTGTCTTTGTAGGGTCAGCTCTCCCTCCACCCCCTGTATTCTGTGCTGCAAATCCAATTTCATCCTTTCATATTCCTTTGCTTGTTCTTGAATTTCACTGGCCACATACAGACCCAGCCACATACAGACACATGTACACACATAAACACAGAAAAGCAGTAATTACCATACCCTTGCGTAAGTAAGGAAAGAGATTTTATTTATCCTTTTGAAAAGCACAGCAGTGACTGAATAATGCTACATCCTGGGTGCAGAGGCTTAACACTGACCCTGAGGTGTTTATCACATCACTTGCAGGGAAAAAAAACCCAAACAAGTCAACATTAATCTGTCATCACTGCCCACAAAGTGTGTCATGGGTCACTTCTACCAAACCATATTTGCTCCACTTCGTGGCATCCAGCCATGCAGATAGTGAAGAGGCGAGTGCAGGCGGGTTGGAGTGGGTGGAGAAAGGTGTCAGGAGTGTTGTGTGACAGAAGAGTGGCAGCAAGAATCAAAGGAAAGGTGTACAAGACGGTAGTGAGACCAGCTATGCTGTATGGGTTAGAGACTGTAGCAGTGAGGAAAAGACAAGAGGCAGAGATGGAGGTAGCAGAGATGAGGATGTTGAGGTTCTCTTTAGGAGGGACCAGGATGGACAGGATTAGGAATGAGCACATCAGAGGGACAGCTCAGGTCGGCTGTTTTGGGGACAAGGTCAGAGAGGCCAGATTGAGATGGTTTGGACATGTGCGGAGGGATAGTGGTTATATTGGTAGAAGGATGTTGGAGATGGAGCTGCCAGGCAAGAGGCCAAGAGGAAGGCCAAAGAGGAGATGTGCTAAAAGAAGACATTTTTATTTTTACAATAATAAAACTGAAATATAAATTATAGGTCCTCAAAAACAAAGGCATGTAGTTCGTTCTCATTTAGATACTTTATCTTTAAAACACGGTGTATAGGTCAGGAATCAGTCATTTTTTATGCTGATCTTAGTTTTCAGAAGCATACTGCAAGCATGACCAGAACAGCTTTCTGTCACTTAAAGAAGATGATTCATATCCCAAGTAGATGCTGAGAAACTGATACATGCATTCATTTCCATTAGACTGGACTATTGTAATGCTCTTTTTGCTGGTTTACCAAAAAGATGATCTTAAGATTACAGATTATTCAGAATGCTGCAGCCAGAATTGAACCCATAAAAATTAACATACAAGTCTGGTGCTTCAATCACTACATTGGTTACCTGTGCAATATAGAATCAACTTTAAAATTCTACTGTTGGTTTATAAAGTCTGTAATAGTTTAGCTCCTCAGTATGTAATTGACCTATTCACTGAGCACACTCTGGCCAGATGTCTGGCATTAATCTTCTAGCTGTCCCTAAAGTGAACTCTAGGTCATCAGAGGAAGCCTTTAGTTACTTTGGTGTGTATCTATGCAACAAACTACCTGTTGACCAAACATCATTAACCTCTAGAGTCCTGAGCTTTGGAAACCCAAGCTGTGCGGTCCTCATATGAGGACGCAGGGACTCTAGAGGTTAAATAAAATAGATATGTTCAGAAGAAAACTTAAACCTTTCTTATTCTCACAGGTGTAGGATTGAGTTATGAGCTGCACGTGTACTGTATGAGACACAGATTTTATCGTTTACATTTTTGTAATTGTATTTTCATATTGGTGTACTTCATATTTGCTTGGATTTTATTGCTTTAAATGTTCATTTTGTGTACTTAAAGTTGAGTGATTATTTGTTTTTATAATTCTTACCCTTGGTCTTTTATTCTCTTTAATTGTTTAAATATTTTTGTTGTGCTGATGTAAGGCAGCTTGAGTTTACATACATGTAAAAAGGTGCCATATAAATACACAGTAGGTGACTCGACTTAACCCTTCTATTATGTAATGAAGAATAAAGCAGTTTTGGACATAACTGTGGAAGCAGTGTGGGTGTTTCCCATGGCACTGGTTGAGTGACAGATAAGAGCTGGCCTTGCAAGAGATGTTCTGCACCTGCTGTAGTACAGAGAACAGTATAATACCTGCATAGTTATCTACCAATAGCAATGTCTGTCCCTTCACAGCAATGAATATTAACATCATGCTGTTACTCCAAGTGGTTTGAAAATGTTTGTACTAAGGCTGAAAACATGTTATTTTTCCATGCATATTACTTTGACACTCTCTACATCTCTGGCGGCTCCTGCCCACGGTGCATTATGTTTATAATAAGTTAAATATCTCACAAATTAAATCTGACTCTGGTGGCAAAATAATATGGTCAAGCTAGCATTGCAAAACTACTGTTGGTAACAGTGTTTACTTTGCAACTTTGTGAACTGCTGTTAGCAAGTTAGACATGCTATGTCCGGCAGTTTATGGTTACAACCATACCCACACTGTTTTTCCATCTCCACCTACTTATGGCCACATTTTGCCAGGTGGCTTTTGGTGTGATTGCACCTTTACACCTATGGTGCAAAACAGGCCCTACACCCAGGGAAACAAATCTACCTTGACCTGCTGTAACAGCAAACTGCCTCTCAGATAGCATTAGCCCACAGCTAATGGTAAACTCTGACACTAATTGTAGCTATGACTGTTTTGTGCCTTTTCTTTTTCTTAGTTTTCTCTTCCCGACTCACCCTTTGAGCTGGTCCAGCTGCAGTCTGAGCTGAGCAGCACTGTGCCTACTTTTACTAAGCACCTCCTGCCACTCCTCAGCCTCTCTGGCTCTCTGCTCCTCCAGCTGGACGATCTGCATACAAAGCCGGCTCAATTCCTCCTGTCTGCAAATAACGACATTATGAAAATGGCTGTGCTCCAATGCTCCCTATCCAACCTGGCTGACTTTGAACAATTCTGCCAAGAAGAACGGAAGAAAACTCCAAAAGAAGGGTACAAAGCCTGCAGTTTAATCTCAAGAAGACTTGAGGCTGTCATTGCTGCCAAAGGTGCTTTAACCAAGTACTAAGTGAAGGGTCCGAATACTTATGTAACTGGGAAATTTCAGTCTTGTATTTTTAATAAATTAACAAAACACTCCAAAAACCTGTTTTAATTTTACCATTCTGAAGTAATGCGTGTAGATTGATAAGAAACATTTTTAACTGAATCCATTTAAAGATGAGTCTGAAACATAATAAAATGTGAAAAACTTGAAAGGGTCTGAAAAGTGTCTATACTCACGGTAAGGGCAGTCCATTCACCATTTTTATGTCATTGTGTCATCCTGTTTTTCCTCTGATGGAGAGTATGTGATGCAAACTTTGCACTTACCAGTTTGACATGTACTTCTCACACTCATATTTTTCCATTTGTTATCAGTTGCATTTAATATTTAAACCTTGTACATCTTGTATATTTTTGTATGAAATGTAGTTCAATAATTTTCTGTTTTTCGTATCACTATGTTCTATGACTATTTTACACACAGGCATTTCTTTACTTTTCACTTCAGTCTAATCTAAGTGCCACACACAAATTTAGATTTAAGAGGGTTAGATGAATTGTACCTGTCATACTCCACAGTTAGAGCTCTGGCAGTCACGGCATCATATCTCTCCAGCTCTCTATCTCGTTCATCCAGGATGGTCAGGTTGAACTGGAAATCTTCCTGCAGTTGCTGGTGGTGTCCTCTGACAAATGAGCCATTATAAAAGAATGAACTGGTTATCAGCATGCTCAAAAAGAAAGAAAGATGACTCTATGTAAGCCCTGTGTGTATCTTAACGGACCTAACCTAAATGTCAGCTCCATTATCAGAAAATATTTATGTTTTGGTATGTGCTGCCCCATCTTTTAATAGATCTTCATGTGATCACTGGGGCTGTGTGCAGTCCCCTCCCGCTTCATATACTGCACAGTCATCCCAATTCTCAATTCTATCTTGTAGGATTGAATGTCTGCAGTCTTGTGATAATGAAGTCCTTGGAGAGACTTGTGAGTCCATCTGAAGCATCCCCCCACTGGACCACTGCCTATCAAGCAAACAGGTCAGGGGATGATGCGGTCAGCATGGGACTGCACCGCATTCTGCGACACCTCTACATCCCCAGGACGCGTGCTGCTTGGGGACCACAGCTCAGAATTCCACATCATGATATGAAACGTCCTTTACTGTAAACTCACCCAGCACACTGTGTCCACCCTCACCTGTCAGTAGCTCAACAAGTTCCTGACAGACAGGAAGCAGCAGGTGAAGCTGGGGCAATAGTTATCACCGGTGCCTCCAAGAGATGCATGCTCCCCACACTGCACTTTTCCATTTACTGTACACCACTGACTGCACCTCAGGGGACATGGCTTTTAAACTTCTAAATATTAAAGATGACAGAGGTGTCATTAGCGTCATCTGACTGCACATAGCTGGCCCTCTGATGTGGTCTTAACAACCTGGAGATGAACACTTAACTAAACTATGGTGATACTGTAACAGTGGGCCTCAGGAGGAGGCCAGGAAGTCACTCTTTTGTCTTCTTACCCAAGATCTGTATGGCTTTTGTTGAGGTTGAGTCATATGAATGTTCCAACTCAGATTCACAGAACCTTCTTAATTGCACAAATTTGTACAATTGCTCATTTCAGCCTGATGAATACCAACCTCTCCATTAGGAGGTGTGTGTCGTGAGTTTACATAATTAGCATAATCTATGCTCCTAAAATTGTGATACAAAGGTACCTGTTCCCCTCAATTTTGGGGAATGTTTCATCCATAACAATATGACCAAATAGTAAAAAAGTCATAGTAGAGCTTTAAGTACTCCTTCAAGTACTATAACATCAGTTATCATGTCTCTTTCTAGTAAGACAGTTTTGTTTTTATATGTTCAGACTGTGAGCAATCAGACTCTGAGAGTTCCTCCTCTACACCAATACTATGGTGGTGGAAAGAATTTAGTTTGTGACGCTCACAGCACTGAAAAATGACATTTCAATAGCAGCATGTCATTCCAGATAAAATCCCCAGACTTCCACTGTATTGAGCTGGAGGCAGATATGTTTACCACACATTTCAAAACCTGTACAAATATAACCAGTGCTATCTGCATGGATAGATCTCATGCAGGTTGGTGACTTTTGCAACTTCACTCAAACTTTTAAGAGTCACAATGTTCAAACTCAGTTTACTGGATACTTAATGACATAACTTTTCCACATTTAAATAGCATAATCATAAGCATAAACTTTATTGCCAAGTATTTTCAGAAACACAAGGATTTTGACTCCAGCCTAATGCCCCCTAGTGTGCACAGCCATATAAAATCAGAATAAAGCCAAAACCACAATTAAAAACCTGAAGACAAAAAATAATAATAAAAGAAAAGAAAAGAAAAACAGGCAATACAACTGTAAAACTACAAACTACAAACTGCACATAAAATCAGTGTGCTATATAATATGTACAAAAGAACAGCATAACAGGTGACCAATAAAGATAAAAAACCTGAACAAATGAGAGGTCTCTTCCAGAATCATGTTGTGGCTTCACAGTCACCAGATCTTAACCCAGATGAACATCTATGAGAGATTGTGGACCACCACCACCATCAAAACACCAAATGAGGGAATATCTTTTGGAAGAATGGTGTTCATACGTCCAGTAGAGTTCAGAGACTTGGAAAACTAATGCCAAGGTGAACTAAAGTTGTTCTGGTGGCCTAGCATCTTACTAAGACACTCTGTTGATTTTTCATTTTACCTTGCCACCTGTCAGAATTAATCTAATAAACTAGAAATCACCATCAACCACCATCAAAACAACATCAGGGCCATCATTAAGAAGGCACAGCAGAGGATGTACTTAATGCGGACAGTCAGGACTGCAGAAAAGGTCATTGGTGCAAGCCTGCCCTCCATGGAGGACCTGTACACCTCACAGGTCAAAAGGAGGGCAGAGAAGATCACTGCAGACCCCTCACACCCTGGACACAATCTGTTTGAACTCCTCCCCTCTTGATGGCGTTACAGGTCACTGTGCAAGACAACCAGGCACAGGGACAGTGTCTTCCCCTAGGCCACATGTATCAAACAAGATGCCGCGGGCCACATCCGGCCCGCGACATCTTGTTCAATACTAGCTTGACCATATTATTTTGCCACCAGTCAGATTTAATGGCCCGGCAATATGAAGCGCCGATAACACACAAACTACAAATCCCATAATGCAGCGCAACAGGTGCCTTGACGAACGATAGGCTACCTGCAATCATTCCCGCGTCAATTACGTCAGATCAATCAAGCGGCTGTTGATGTATACAACCCTAATTTCAAGTCAAAGCTAGGCCCTAACAATGGCCAAGAGAAAAGGTGATTCTGAAAACAGAACCTTTCAAAACCGGTGGGAGGCTGAGGATATGTTTATTGACATTGTCGGTAAACCCGTGTGTCTTATTTGTGGAGCTAATGTGGCTGTAATTAAGGAATATAACCTAAGACGGCACTATGAGACAAAACATCAGGACAAGCTGAAAAACGTGAATGAAGAGCAGAAGCTACAGAAGGTAGAGGAGTTGAAGAGGAATCTGACATCACAGCAGATGTTTTCACCAAAGTGGAATCACACAGTGAAGCTGCTGTGAAGAAAGCAAGTTTTATTGCAGCAGAGGAGAAAATCAGCCTGGACATTTACCGAGGGAGAGTTTCTGAAGAGCTGCATGATGAAAGTGTGAGACGTCTTATGTCCAGACAAAAGGCAGGTGTTTGTTAATGTAAGCCTTAGCAGAAATACGGTTGTTGATTTTAAGTTCAAGTTTATTTATTTTGGAATAATATTGTGTCCTGCCTGTTTTGATTCATATTTATGTTAAAAAAAACGTTTAATTTTAGTCTGTTCAATAAATTTTTATCCTGTTCGGACCGCAACCTAAAGTGTGCTTTGAGTTTTGGCCCCCTGTGCGATTGAGTTTGACACCCGTCCCCTAGGCTGTCACTCTGATGAACATTTGACCCACGATAGTATGACTGGATAATAGTCCTCAGTCAAATACCGGTCTCTAGTTTTAAGTATTCTATTTTTATTCCTACTTATCCCATTTCACAGTGAGCATTCCTTGTGTGTCTGCATCGTTTACTGCCTGTTAATACTGCTTATTTTGTTATATTACACAGCCTTATTCTGGTTTACTGTTTACTTGCCGCTTGCATGGGGACATGTACATGTACATGCACATTGAGAGCCGATGTACCAGAGTCACATTCCTCATGTGTCCGACACACCTGGCCAATAAAGCAAATTCTGATTCTGATTCTGAAATGACATGGACAAAGACATGTCTAATAGCAAATTATGGCTGAAACTCTTAGTGGGCTGGTTGACTGCCCAAAGTATTTTAATAAGCCACAATGCTAAACATTTTTTTCAAACAATGATTTGCTGCTTTTCTCAGTTTTATATCAGTGTAAACATAATATATTTAGATTCTGGAATGTTAGTTGGGGGAAAAAACAAACAAAAAAACAGTTGAAGATACCGTCTTGGGTTCTGGTGATGAAGATGGACATTTTTCACCATTTTCTCAAATAGTAAAATGTTAAATAACTAACTGAAATAACAAGTAAGCAAACTGCAATCTGATATGACTTACATCTGCAATCAGCTTTGTCAGATTCGAGACGAGGGTCCATTGGCAAATCTTAAATTAAACTGTCCAAGCAGGAAGATCACATTTACTGTTATTCAGAGGTGACTTGGATATATACCTGAGGGAGGAGCACTCCTCCTGGGCCTTTTTGAGAGCACTCTCCATCTGATGAACCCTTACAGCCTGGAGCTCCTTCCACTCCCTTTCTTTCTTGGCCAGTTGGGCCTCCAGGTCTTCCAGTCCACTGTCCCCATCTGACTGCATAGTCAAACTGGGATACACCTAGGAGCCACAGTATATGTCATCATACATTGCAAAAGCACAGTATTCGTGCTAATGGTTAGTTTATATTCTGTAGCAATGCTTTTAGCAGCTTTTAACAACCACCAACTCCCACTGAGCTTAAGAAATTCATTGGCTACACATCACAGGTCAACAGAAGAGGTGAATCCATCGCAAATAGAAGAAACATAAATTAACTGCCAATCTCCCTCGGTCTGGAGCTCCATGCAAGATCTCACCTTGTGGAGTTTCAATGATAATGAGAACGGTGAGGAATCAGCCCAGAACTACTCGGGAGGAACTTGTCAATGATCTCAAGGCAGCTGGGACCATAGTCACCAAAAAAACAGTTGGTAACACACTACGCCGTGAAGGACTGAAATCCTGCTGTGCCTGCAAGGTCCCCCTGCTCAAGAAAGCACATCTACAGGCCCGTTTAAAGTTTGCCACTGAACATCTGACAGATTCAGAGGAAGACTGGGTGAAAGTGTTGTGGTCAGATGAGACCAAAATCGAGCTCTTTGGCATCAACTCGACTCGCCGTGTTTGGAGGAGGAGGAATGCTGCCTATGACTCCAAAAACACCATCCCCACCATCAAATATGGAGGTGGAAACATTATGCTTTGGGGGTGTTTTTCTGCCAAGGGGACAGGAAAATTGCACCGCATCAAAGGGAGGATGGATGGGGCCATGTACCATCAAATCTTGGGTGAGAACCTCCTTCCCTCAGTCAGGGCATTGAAAATGGGTCGTGGTTGGGTATTCCAGCATGACAATGATCCAAAACACACGGCCAAGGCAACAAAGGATTGGCTCAAGAAGAAGCATATTAAGGTCATGGAGTGGC